AGGGGGGAGTCTCCTTGTTGGGGATTTGGAAGCACTAAGGGGATTAATCCCTATATCCGGATGTCTACTCTTTTTCTTGTGTTCTTTCTTCTCTCTCTCTCTCTCTCTCTCTCCAGCTCTTTAATTTGTGCTCGTTCTCTTTTTTTGTTTTCTGACTCCCAAGAGCCCCCAAAGGAAGGAGAAATGAAATCCTTCCTGCCCACAGTTGGGGGCCTAGGAGGTGCTATTTGGGCGGAAGGGAAACCGAAAGCGCTCAGGGTCTTTCACACTGGCCGAAAGGCAGAGGCTGTAACATCCCGGAGCTGCCAGTAGAGTCCGCCTTAGACCAAGTTCACAGCCAGGCTGGGGCCTACCAGCTGCCAGCGAGCGGCCGTGCAAGGTGGCCCCAACCGCCCCCGCCCGCCCGCCCCCCTCCATCTTCAACATCCGCATCTAGAATCCGGTTGGTGTTACTTCTTTCTGAAGTCTAAATGCCTTACATTAACTGTGAAGCATCTCGCATCCGCACGCATGGCCTGCCCTGGCTTCCTGGGGGTGCCTGCCTCCCCTCCCTCCCGCTCCCGTCTGTCCGTCTCCCCGCCCCACCCGCCTTCCCCTCCCGCTCTGGGTGTTCCTCGCAGGTTCTGGATGGAGGGTTTCCATTCGGGTGGGTTTTCATCATTTGCAGAAAAAGGACTGTGCCTGGCCCGGTGTTCCATCCGGGACCCAAGGGCCGGCCCGCCAGCATCACCCACACGCAGCTCCCCAGGCCCACCACGCCCAGCCACCTCCCCGCACTGCCGCCCGGTTCAGCTCGGGAAGCCCAAACCCACTACCCACCTCCTGCCGTCCCTGAATCTCTTCCACTCTCTCCCCTCTGGCCTCCAGCCTCAACCCCTTGCAAGCCCACTGCTCCCCGGCCTCCATCAATAGAGATGCTCCCAGGCCAGCAGGGAGGCCTCAGGGCGAGGCGGCATGCAAGCAAAAATTTAGGGACAGAGGAACCCAGAGTGGACAGACTCGGGTCTGGTGGCCCACTGAGGCTCTCCCTGCAGCCCTGATAGGCAGGTGCGCACGCTGCACCCACACCCAGTAAGTGCTCAGCCAGCGCACACCTGGCGCAGGTATGGCCTGTAATTCACACTTTTCCTCTCTATGGCTTTACCTCTTGCACGCACACACATGCACGCACACACGCGCGCACTCACGCAGTCCCTCTCCTATATTACTTGCACCCACCCTGAAGGGCCAAACCCCACCCAGCACACACCTCCTTCATCTCTCCCTCTGACTCCGCCCCTTCCCCTCCCACCTCTGCCCTTCTGCCCGTCATCACCAAGGAGCCCCTGAAGGGCCCCACTGGTGGCATTTTGCACTGGATCCCTCCCTGCGGACAGCGCACTCCTCCACCGAACAGGGAATGATCACCAACTGCAAGGTGGGCAGAGCCAGCCACCGTCTCTGCCCCTTGCCTGAGTGAGGTGGGGGTGGCAGGTATTGGTCCAGTAACCCTTGACCTCCACTTGAAATCGTAGCTTCTCTGCAAGCTGAAGGCTGAGCAGCATGAACAAGGTAGAGAGGGGAGAAAAGGGCATTCCCGGCCCCAGGACGGTGGGTGAAAAGGCCCTGGGGCAGGGGAGAAAGCAGGGGTGGGGCTGCAGGTGAGGGGCTGTGGCTGGAGCAAAGCGGCAGAGGAAAGCTAGCGGAGAGCTGGGGAGGGAGGGGCCCTGCCAGGGGCCGCTGCTGTGGAATCTTACGCACCAGGAAAGGCCTGGAAAGACTGAAGCGGTGATGTGATTTGAAATGGTTGAGGTGACAGCGCATGGATACAGTGAGATGAGGCTGGGCTGGAGGTGGGCACCAGGTCCCAGCAAGAGGTGACAGGTGGCAGTGGAGGCAGCAGGGAACTGGAGGGACTGGCTCAGAGCATGGGGCTGGACTGGGCAGGAGGGAGCTGGCCCTGGGAGGAGGAGGAGTGGGCGTGGTGAGTTTGAGGTCCCCGCAGGACCCGGGAGGCAGGCAGCGGGGGCGTCTGGAGCTTTGGGCTGAGGTCGGGCAGGAGGAGGGGTCTGCAGGGGGCAGAATTTCTGTGCATCCCTTGGGCAGGTGGTTCCCATGTCCTTCTGCATGCTCGAGGGACACCAGGCTCTGAGCCGTCACTGGAGAGAGGACCACAAAGGGAAGGACTCCATGCCCCCAGGGCCTGTGGCCAGTGGCAGGGCAGGGTCTGGGGAAGCTAGGAGGGGGCACTCAGGACGTGGTGCAGGAAGAGACGGGTGGACGAGGGCTGCCGGTCCCACCCCACCTCCCTCGTGTCTCCTCCCCCGGCTCCCCAGGGGCAGCATGCTGTCTGCACGTCTCCCTGCCAGATCCCGCTGCTTCCGCCTGGTGGCAGGCTCCATCCTGAGCCCCGAGGCTGCTTCCAGGGCTGCCTGCCTCTGCATGCTCCCGAGTCCACATGTTATGATCCGCCCCATGGAAGGGATGGCTTGCACTCTGGGGGTGTACGGGAGGGGGCTGGGGACACCTGGGCTGTTGGCCCCGTCCCCAGGTGGAGCTGGGTGGCCAGGCAGGGCTGGGGTCAGGTCAGGGGCACGGAGGGTGATCTCGGAACCAAGCTGGGCTGGGGCTCTGGTGAGAACTTGGGTGTTCTCACTGACAGGCCCAGTGTGGTCAGGTAGGGCCCAGCCCCTTCGGCCGCCAGGCCTAAGGGCCAGCTGCTGCATCCCATAGAACACCTGACTCCCCAGCCAACCGAGAGGCCTCTTGCCAACCTCGGAAATTCCACTCCCAGGCCAGAGCTACTGACAGACACAGGCCCCATAGCGGGGAGTCCCCCCAACCCTGTGCCCCAGAAGCACCAAGGACAATGTCCATGTCATCATTGCCCAAATTGGCACACGCTTGAAACCGGGAGGGTTGCTGCCATACCTGGGCTCCCCGTATGGGTCTCCCTGTGCCATTCGCGGGTGAGGGCTCAGCAGTGCTGGGCCTTGCCATGGGGCCTGAATCGCTGCTCCCACGAATCCCTTAGGCCAGACTCCAGGTGGGGTCCCCTTAGCAGGAGACCCACTACCCCCCGCCTCCCACCCCCCAAGTCCCAGCCAGCGACGGGAGGTTTCCGCGTCTGCCCGAGGCAGGGATCACTCAGAGGCCATGAGCCAGGAAAGCCAGCACCACTGCTCGAACGAGGGGCCTTGGAAAGCTGCAGGGCGTGTGGCCAGCCTCCAGGGCCATAGGGGCCCAGGCCTGCCCCAAACCAGACAGTGCCCACATCTTATTTTTAAACGATGTCAACTGTTTTTCATAATCAAATAAAAAGATGCTACTCAGGCCCAACAAATTAGCTTCGCTGGCCAAACAGGTCCACTTGGGATTTCTAGCCCCCCAGCCAGGGTCCCCTGAAGCCTCAGGACGGTCATGTTAACACCCATGAGTTGTGACCCCCATGCCCACCAGCCTCCTGCTCCACTTTTAGCTTGGGTGGGAGGACACAGAGGCAGTGAGCACACAAGCTTTTTTGAGCAAATCAGAGTCCACCCAGGGAGGTCCTGGGGGCAGGGACGGCCCCACCTCCCGGCCCCCGGCACCTGCCCCTTGGTGGGCTGGGGGTTAATTCGGAGCTCACCCGCCCCATGGGAGCTGAGTCGTTCCTGCTTCCCGCAGGCCTGGTCCCGTGACACTCCACCCAGCCCCAGAAGCTGAGAAGCCATCCCTGAGAGGGGGGAAAAGGGCCCCAAATGCATCTTCTCCGACTCAGCGGGCAGCGAGGACTCACCCTGCAGCCGAACAGCCCCAGCTCCCTCCCGTCCTCCCCATTCCCGCTCGCCAAGGGGGTAAGGAAAGATGCTCTTCTGCTTCTCCCCATTGGCTCCAGCCGCTGCTCCTCTTGGCCGTGGGGTGAGGTCAGGGCGGGCAGGAGCGGGTGGGCAGCTCGGCAGGGCAGGGCAGGGCAGGGTGCCCGGTGAGTCCCGTGACAGATGCATTTCTGGCTCGGAGCGTAACATGCCCTCGGAACCCGCACATGTCCTCCAGGCCTGAGCGTGCTGCCCGCTGCGCCGCACCCGGCCTGCCCCGCACCCCGCCCCCGCCCCCGCCCCGGTGTTTGTGCATCGTACACGTGTGATGGGTTCCGCAACTTGACCCGCTTGTGTCCTATCGTCTCAGTGCATTTGGTTGTTGGGAGAAATAAAAACCATCTCGATTTTTTTCCTGATTGGATGATTCGGATATATTTTCTTTTCCTTGATCTTTTGTTATTTCTTTCCCACCCCGTTCCCTTCTCCTCCTTCCCCCTTTTCTTTCCTTTTCCCCACTGCGGGTGGGGCTGGCAGGGAGGGCGGATGCTTTTGAGTTGATGCCTTTCCTTCTTCCCACCCTCTGCCCCTGACTTCCTTCCTTTTTTCGAGTTTTCCCTCTGCACCATTGCATTAATAGTGCTTTCTCTCCTTTCCCTCCTTATTTGGGGTCTGGCTTGCTTTTTTCCTGTTGGTTGGCTTCATGTAGGGGCCTCTGTGAGTGGTGACAGCTCTGAGCTCCTGGGGTGGGTGGATGGTCACCCCTCTCCCTCCATCTCCCCAGAATAACTTCATCAACCTGAGTTTTCTCCGCCTCTTCCGAGCTGCCCGGCTCATCAAACTCCTCCGTCAGGGTTACACCATCCGCATTCTTCTCTGGACCTTCGTGCAGTCCTTCAAGGTGAGCCCCTGCCCCTGCCCCTGGCCCAGGGCTCAGAAGAGCGGACTCCTGTGCTCCAGAGGAATCAAACTGGACGTGACTCTGTGCAGGAGCCATCCTGGGATGCCATCTTCGGGGCTCCTATCTAACTTCCTGCCCCTGGGGTGTCTTCAGAGCTCTGAAGGCCTCATCACAGAGCCCCAGTGACCAGCGCTGGCGGCACTCGCGCAGCATGTGGCCCCCCGACCAGTGGGGGGCGCGCTGGGACAAGGGAAGGAAATGGTGGGCCGAGGGGCCCCGCACCCCTCACTGCCTTCCCTCCCGCAGGCCCTGCCCTATGTGTGCCTGCTGATTGCCATGCTCTTCTTCATCTACGCCATCATCGGGATGCAGGTGAGCGCGCACTCTACGGTGTCGGGCCACCCAGAGGGGCAGCCGCCCCCAGGCAGGAGCGGCCCAGTGGAGCCCAAATCGGGTGGCAAAGAGATGGAGCTGGCTGGCCCTGGTGGTCACCCTCCCGTTCCGCAGGTGTTTGGCAACATCGGCATCGACGTGGAGGACGAGGACAGTGATGAGGACGAGTTCCAAATCACTGAGCACAACAACTTCCGGACCTTCTTCCAGGCGCTCATGCTTCTCTTCCGGTGAGAGGGGGCGTGGCCTCTTCCTTCCACGGGTGGGGAGGCCTTCATTCTTCTCTTCCGGTGTGTGTGCCCGCGTCCATCCCTTCCGGTGGGGAACTTGCGCTAACCTCTTAAATGTCCCACTCTCCTCCTCCCTTTCTGGGGAGGTTTGGTACGGGCGTGCGGGGCGCAAGGGTCCATGGCAGGGCAGTTGCTGAAGGCCTTCTTCAGGCTTCAACTCGTTGAGTCCCCCTGACTGCCTCCTGAGGTGGGGACGCTTGAACTCCCCATCCGACACTTGAGGAAATTGAGGCTTAAGGCTGTTGAGGTTGATTCTTTGGTGAAGCCTGGATGCGGAGGTTTATTGAGCAGCTACTGTGTTGCAGGCACTGCCACACCCCGGGATACGGCAGAGGGAGAGGGAAAACACTTTCTCTCCTTTGGAAGTTAATTTTCCCATGAGGAAGACACATAATTGGTAAAACAATTATAGGAGATCCTAGATGGAGATAAAATTTTAGATCAGGAGGGCATGGGGATTTGGGTGTGTGGTGAGCCCAGTTATTCAGAAGGCTGAGGTAGGAGGATCATAAGTTCGAGGCCAGCTGGGCAACTTAGTGAGACCCCGCGTCAAAATAAAATAAAAAAGGGCTGGGAATGTGAGTAGCTCAGTGGTGGAGCACTCCTGGGTTCAATCCCCAATACCACACACACACAAAGAAAAAAAGGAGGAGGAAAGGGGACACAGAAAGAAATAGTGTCTGATGCCCCTGGTGGGAGGTGAATTCAGAGCTGGAAAGTGGAACAGGGGGTGCGGGGCTGGGGGCGGAGAGCAGGGAGCTTACTACTTACAGGGAACAGAATTGGGGAGGGTGAGAAGGTTCTGGGGTGGGCGGTGCTGACAGTCACTAGCGGTGTGACAGCAGTTGGTGCCACCGAGTCGTGTGTTTCAAAGTGGTTAAAATGGTCTATTTAAGAATTTTGCCGCAATAAAAAAATAGGTTCATCTAACAACAAAAAGAAGGGGATGGAGGGCCTGTTGGTCACACCTGTCTGGAGGTGTGACGTTAGAGGGACAAAGGTGAGGAGGGAGCCGTGTGGATGTCAGGAAGAGTGGCCAGGCAGAGGGGACAGCTGACACAGGGATCGTGGCTGAGACACGGCTGGCACGTTTGAGGACAGTGAGGGGCCAGCTCACCCGGGTCACAGTGACCCACGGAGAAAAGACTCTTGAGGAGAGTCACCTGGAGGGAGGAGAGCTTGTAGGTTATGCAGATGTCCCCGTGCCCAGTCGGGCCGGGTCCAGCCTGTCGGGTGGAGCGTGGGCCTCAGCTTGCCCCATCCTGGGGGTGGAGCCCAGCGCCTCGTGTGTGAGCCAGCCTTCTGCCCCTGACCAGCTCCTCGCCCAGCACCAGCATTTTCAAAAGTCCCCGTGGGCTTTAAAGCTCAGCCAAGGAGGAGGATGTCCACCCCATGTCCTAGGGAGGGGAGGCAGTGGACCTGGGGCTCAGATCAGCCCACCCAGCTCCAGAGCCCAGTGTCTGACCCACACGCGCCCCTTCCCAAGAGGCCTTGGCCTGCAGCCAGAGCCGGGTGCCTAGGCCCCTGATGCCCCTCCCTTCCTCAGGAGTGCCACCGGGGAAGCCTGGCACAACATCATGCTCTCCTGCCTCAGTGGGAAGCCCTGTGACAAGAACTCGGGCATCCTGACCGCCGACTGTGGCAACGAGTTCGCTTACTTCTACTTCGTGTCCTTCATCTTCCTCTGCTCCTTTCTGGTGAGTCTGCGGGCGGGGAGGCCGGGCGGGCCCGGACCCCTCTCTGGCTCAGGACCAGATTCTCTAGGATGAGACCCATCTGCTCCCTCAGGGCTGCTCCCAGCCAGCCTGGGGCTCAGTGAACCCAAGCTTCCCACTGTGGCTCCCGCTGAGCTTGGGGGCACCCCAACTTGCACCCTCTGGGTGCCCCCGACACTAGATGACCATGTCAGCCCAAGGAAAGTCAGGCACAGCGTAACCCCAGCAGCTCAGGAGGCTGAGGCAGGAGGATGGCGAGTGCAGAGCCAGCCTCAGCAACTCGGTGAGACCCTGTCTCTGAATTAAATACCAAACAGGGCTGGGGGTGGGGCACTCAGTGGTCGAGTGCCCCCGAGTTCAATCCCAGGTACCAAAAAAAAAAAAAAAGCGTAAGAAAATCAGCCTGAAGGAGGGAGCCTTCTCCTGGCTCGGGGCCTCAGCCACGTGGGTCCATGGGCACTGGAGCCCCTGGGACGGGCCTGGGGGAGGCAGGACATCACGCAGCAGGAAGCGGAGGGAGACGGAGAAAGAGCCAAAGACCCAGCAGACCTTCCCGGGCGTGCCCCCACTTCCTGTTTCCAGCACCTCCGACACCTTCGGTTATGACCCTGTCACTGGGTCAGTGTTGAGGAGGTCCCAGCCCATGTGACCTGGTCACTTCCCCAGCCCCACCTCCCAACACTGCCCAACACTAGGTTGAGCGTTTGGAGATCATTCCAGATCCAACTGATAGCCCTGTCCCTCCCCGCAATAGGGTGACAGCCAAAAGTGTCACCAGACATTGCTGCCAGGATCCCCCCCCCGTTGGAGACCCAGATGGGGGAGGATCCGGGGTCCTCCCCAGCGGTGGTCCCCTTGGTGTGACCCATTCCCCAGCCCCCCCACCGTCCATCTTGGTCTCTCTCCGTCTGCCCTTCTCCCTCGCGTCTGCACCCAAGCTCACGGGAGCTCACCCTCGCTGGTCCTCCTTGGTCAGGGAGTGTCTCCTCGGGGTCCCCTGCCGCTCTCTGTCCCCGGGCCTCTGCGGGAGTTCAGTGGGTGCGTCCGCAGCCGCCCCAGCTCTCTCCCTCCTACTTCCCCGTCTGTCTCCCCGGGGCCCCACAGATGCTGAACCTCTTCGTGGCCGTCATCATGGACAACTTTGAGTACCTCACCCGAGACTCCTCCATCCTGGGCCCCCACCACCTGGACGAATACGTGCGTGTCTGGGCCGAGTACGACCCTGCCGCTTGGTAAGGAGGGCCTGGGGCCTCGGGCCACACTGGGGCCTCCTGCCGGAGCTGGGACGTAGGCAGGCGGGTCCTGGGCGTGAGTCCCAGGCTCTGGCAGGGACCCCACCTGCCTCGGTCCAGAGGAGAGAAGGAGAACTATGAGCGCTGCAGCCTAAGTGCTCAGGGTCTCACCCCTGCCAGCCCTGTCCCCTAGGAAGAGAGGGGAGGGTCACCCGGAGTATGAGGGAGCCCTGCGGGCCCTGAAGGGTTAGCGCAGCAGGCCCTGGGAGGAGCTGAAGCCTCCAGTGGACTCCGCTGGGGCCTAGGGGAGAGGCTGGCCCAGCTGGGCAGCCGAGATCTGGCACAAGATGGGAGCCCCAGAACCCCCTCCAAAACCTGGAGCGAGCGGCTGCAGTGACGCACGCCTGTCACCCAGCGGCGATCGCGAGTTCACAGCCAGCCTCAGCCAAAGCAAGGTGCTAAGCAATTCAGGGAGACCCTGTCTCTAAATAAAAGACAAAATTGGGCTGGCGACGTGGCTCAGTGGTCATGTGACCCTGAGATCGCTCCCCAGTGACCATTCAAACAAAACCACTAGAGCGGCTGGGGGTGGGGCCCTGGCCTCCCCATGACCTTGAAGAAAGGGCGTCCATCTCTGGAGACCAGAGGCCACTGTGGGCTGGGGGGCCCAGCCTGGCTCTCCCGTACCTGGGTAGGCACTGAGTGCGCTCGACACCAGGCCCTTGCAGACACTCAGAGGCCCCCAGCCATGGGGACTGTAGGTGGGGCTGGTCTCGGCACCTGAAAGAGCATTACTGAGGGGGCCTCCTGTCCCCTGGCCACCGCCCTGGCAGGGAGGCCTCAGGGAGGGGGCGGGAGGGTGGGTCTCTCCAGCCCTGCAGCCCAGACAAGCCCTCCCCGGCCAGAGGTGCCGCGGGTTCCTAACTCTTCCTCTTTCGATTTTAGGTCCGCTGCTGTCCCCCTTGTCTCTGTCACCAGCCCCCTCAGTGTAGCCCACATAGATTGTGCCAGGAGGCAAGAAGCCCAGGGCCTGTGGGGAGGTGCGCGGGTCTAAGACCCCCAGCACAGCCACCAGACCCTCCCGGGGCCCAGTGTCCGAATGTCCCCAGAGACCTCTCCTCTCCCAGGCCTGCAGCAGTCCCAGAGACCAGGAGGTCCAGCCCCTGCTGTCCCTGCCCCGCCGAGGGCTGGGGGCGGGGGCGGAGGCAGCCTGGGCCGCGCTCACTAACCGTGTCTTCCCTTTCAGCGGTCGGATCCATTATAAGGACATGTACAGTTTATTGCGCGTAATCTCCCCCCCTCTCGGCCTAGGCAAGAAATGTCCTCATAGGGTTGCTTGCAAGGTTTGACTTCCACTAAAACCTGCTAGCATCCTGGAATGAGCGTGGCTTGGGGTCTTCAATATATATATTTCATATATATATATATATATATATATCTCTAAACACAGAGCCATCTCTCTCTTGCATTGAACTAGAAGACGCGTAGGCGACAGAATGCGGCCATGTGGTCGATGAAGCATGGACGCACACTCCTGTGTTCCCTCGGCCATCTCTGCTTGCTCTTAGCTGGCCGCCCATCCCGGGGTCTCCACGGCACCCCAGATCAGCTCCACCTCGGGGTGGGGTGTGACTCTGCTCTGCCCCACGCTCCACTCTCCCCCGGACCCCACTCCCGAGCCCCAGCCCCCTCCCCGCCTGGCCCCTCCCCCTCGGCCCCCTCAGAGACCAGCCTCAGCCAAACCAGAGAATGTCGCCCCCCTTTCAAAATGACCCCGCGAGCCAGGCTCAGCTCCCGGCTGCCCGCCAGGAGACCCCCCTCCGCACCCGCCACGTCCCAGCTCCCACCCAGGTCGAGCCCGACTCTCCCCTGCTCGTGAGCAGTGAAATACTCATTTTTAATCACCTTTTCTTCCATTTTTTTCCTCCTCTTTTCCATTTGTTTGAAATCTCTATTTTATCATTTCTCTGCATCTTTCTCTATTTTTCGGCTCGTGTGGTTTGTTTTTTTTTTTTGGTTTTGGTTTTGGTTTTCCTCCGTCCCCCCTCCTCCGCCCCCTCCCTTGGTTCTGTCCCTCGTTTTCTGTTCTGTGCTGCCAGGGGCCGCATGCCTTACCCGGACATGTATCAGATGCTGAGACACATGTCTCCGCCCCTGGGTCTGGGGAAGAAGTGTCCGGCCAGAGTGGCCTACAAGGTAGTCTACCTGTGCCGGCCGCGGTGTCCAGGCACTGGGGATTTTTCAGTGCTCGACAGAAACGCCCGGCCGAGTCTTCTTCCACCCCCTCTTTTCTTCTTCTTGTTTTTTCTTTTTTCTTTTCTCCTTGAGTAACTGGCTCCTGCCGTCCCTCTCCTCTAAGCAGCACAGTGTTGTCCTTTCTGATGAGTGTCTACGTGCTCTGAGACTCCATTATGGCCGACATGCTGGAGGGAGGGGGGGACACCCGGGTCCCCTGGCGGCCACTCGGTCCCTGGGGAACCAAATTGGACACAACCTGTTTCCAGGGAGTCACAGTGGCATCTCTGACCCCAGAGCAGCCCCTGCACCCAGGACAGGACAGGGACCCTGCAGGACAGAAGCTAGGCCCCGGCCCATCTTCTGTGCCACCTGAGTGCCCAGGCCCGGGGGACCTCCCACGCACACACCTGAAGCTGATCTCTGACTCAGGCCTTGGGGATCGATGCTCCCAAGAGCTCCCCCTCCCCTGGAGGTGCCTCCCCAGCCCCCATCCCATGCCACCCATCCCCCAAAGTCACCCCAACCGGCCTCTCCGTTGTTCCAGAGCGGGCAGGCAGGCCGCAGCTGGACCCCTGGACGGTGGCACACTGACGCAGGCCATGCACGCTGCCTTGGCGGGGCCTGGGGCGGGCAGGCGCCGTGGCCGACCGGGGGGTGCATGCTTGCTGAGGGTGTGAGGGGCTGCCGCCAGGCGGCTGGGCCAGACCCCAGGCCCCCCCTGGAATCTCCCGTGGCACCCCAGGACGAACGCTCTGTCCCCCCACTCATCCTGGGGAAGCTCAGGGACATACACCTGCAAGACCCCATCCCCCAGAACAGTCATCCTCTTCCCGTCCAACCCTACCCTAACCTCCGCGTGTCTCCTGTCTGTGTGACTCCCGCAGCCCCCGCCCTCACCCCTCTCACCTGGTCTGCCAGCCTCCCTCCCCTCCTCAGTGGAGGCCACGACCAGCTGCCCTACCTGTCCCCCTCAAGCTCCCCCACCCCACACTGGGGGTGGAACCCAGAGTGCCCTGCCTCTGAGCCACACCCGGCCTTGTCTTGAGATGGTCTCACTAACCTACCTTGAACTTACAATCCTCCTGCCTCAGCCTCTGAGCAACTGGGATTCTAGGTGTGCACCACCACACCGGCTCCATTTCTCCTGTCCCTTCTCTCAGGGTGTGTGTGGGCACAGTAGAGGGGGAAGGAGACCCTCGCTCCGTCTCTATGCAGAGCCTCCAAGGCACCTTTGTGCAAACTTAAAAGGACGCCCCTTCCACAGCACACTTTGTCTGCTGGGAAGTTGTTGTAAGCCACGGATGTGATCAGACCTTTTATGCTAATGAGAGGAACTGTTATATTAAATATGCAAATCCATGATTTCTGAGATGGGGAGCCCTTTGTGCAGTGCATAACCTGCACAGCTGTACACCAAGCCCCCCTCTGTGTTCTTTTATTTTTTTTAATATTTATTTTTTAGGTGTAGATGGACACAACACAATGCCTTTATTTTTATGTGGTGCTGAGGCTCAAACCCCTGTCCCAGCCCCAGCCCCACCCTCTCTGTGTTTAACCACTGCCTCCCTCCCTGACCTGCCCCAGATACCACTTGTTCCTTCCCCAGGTTTCCTGTCCCCTTCCCTCTTTCCCTGTTTCCTGTCCATGTGTATCAGAAATCCCTGGTGAATCCCAAAGCCCTATCTGTGCCACCTCTGTCTGGGCTGGTGCACACCAGCCTGACACCCCCTCCGTCACCACCCAGCAGGGGACAGAGCCCCTGCCTGGGACACAGGGAATAGCATCTTCCCTGGGCCTGGGAATGCCCCACCCCGCCCCCTCCTGCTGCACACAGCCCAGGTCCGGCCATGCCCCCAGATACACTTTCCACAGAGCTATGAATGAGTCTCGAGATTCCGTCTGCATGCGCCTGTCTGTGCTGTTCCGTGTCACCTCGCTGCATGCTGCGAGGGGCCTGCCCACCCGCGGGGCGCCTGCCTGCGGCCTCCCCGAGGAATGTGACCTGTGCCCAGCGGGGCTGCCCTGGTCCAGCCGCACAGGGGCGGGGCGGGTGCCTGCGACTGTGGCCGGGGACCCTCCGCTGGCTGCTGCACGTGCTGGACTGGGCTTTGCTCTCTCTGGGGTCAGACGGGGACGGAGCCATCCAGGAGAGCTCTGAGGCCGGCGCCTGGGAGGGCGGCGGGACGAGGAGGGGCGAGGACGCGGGAGAGCCCCGTGCCCTCCCTGCGGCCACCGGGGAGACGGGAAACGGGGCTGGGCCTGGGGCCGCCGTGGCCTTCAGAGTTCTCCTGGAGGTCCCCGATGGGGTGGGTGCGGCTCGCCGGGGACCCCCGCGGAGGACCCCAGAGTGACGGCCCTCCCCCGGGTTCTCCTAGAGGCTCCTGCGGATGGATTTGCCCGTCGCGGATGACAACACGGTCCACTTCAACTCCACCCTCATGGCGCTGATCCGCACAGCCCTGGACATCAAGATAGCCAAGGGTAAGGGCAGGGCCGACCGCTCGCCCCGAGGGGGAAGCAGGCACAGGGCCGAGATGCCACCCCTTTGTCGCTGCGCACTCTTCCGCAAACCCTCAGGGTGTCCTGTCATGTGCGCCAGACACCCCTGTAGACGGGGGCTCCCCAAGAAGGTTCTGAGGGAAAAGCCTGGGGAGAAGGCTCCGGAGGTGCAAAGGCCCTGAGGCAGGGGTGGGGCAGGACAGAGCGGCCGCAGCCAGGGGCTGCCTCACCGACCTGGCCTCCAGGAGGAGACGCCCTGGCTCTAGAGCAGAGGCGGGGACCCTCCAGCCTCATCTCCACGGGCGCCCTCTGTGGGGACCACAGACCCGGGCGGTCAACCTGAGTTAGTCCAATGTCTGTCACTGTCGTGAAATAATCTGAGGCGGGGAGCCTTATTAAGAACAGCAGCTGGGCCAGGGACAGCTCTGCGGCAGGGCACCTGCCAAGGTGCACAGGCCCTGGATGCGGTCCCCAGCCCCACAAACAAAAAGACAAGCAGCTCATGTAGCTGCGAGTCTCAAGTCCCACCAGATTTAGTGGCTGCGGACGCCCCTGTGTCGCCCGAGGGCCCTGAGCTCCACACTTGGGTCCCTGAGGCCACAGCCCAGGGCTTGGCCAGGCCGGGCTGGTCTCTGAAGGACCCGGAAGAACCTGGCTGTGACTTTATCCAGGAGCCTTCAGTCCCGGTCACAGGACCGAGGCCGCCTCTTCGGGGTGCCCTGGAGCCTGCCCTGGGGCACCACCCCCGCCCCTCCCTGCAGCCCTGAGCGTCCTCTGCTGCTGGCCTAGGCCACAGGGGACAGATGAGCCCCCTCACTTTGCAGGCTCTCAGATATCATGTCGCCACCCTGTGCACCGGGGAGGCAGGTGGGGGCCCTCTCTGTCCCTCTGCCTCCGTCCCCCTCTTCTCTGTGTCTGTCCAGGAGGATCTGGAACAGGCCATTCCCCCGTCCCCCCTGTATCTAGATGTTACGTTGGACCCGGGGCCTCCTCCTGAGGGACTTAGGCCTCCCTCTGCCCCAGGCCAAGAGGGCAGAGCCGCCACCTGCCTGGGGAGATGTAAACCCGCAGCCCTGGCCGCCCTGGAGGGCGCTGACCCTGATGGGCAGCGGTGGGGTCTCCTGGGGGACAGGCGCTCCGGGCGGGGCAGTAACAGGGGCCAGAGCCCCTGGTGGCCACACCGTCCTCCCCCGCACACGGCATTCCCAAGGCAGGGCCGCCCTTGCCTTGTCCTTGGAAGAGCTCCCCAGCCGGGAGCCTCGGCTGGCCCTGGCTTCCTGGCACCCTGTCTGGGGCCCCCACTGGCGACCGTGATGGTGGCTCTGAGCAAAAGCATTAGTTGAGCACCTGCTGTGTGCCCAGCCCTGCCCTTGACATTTGAGATACCACAGGGGACAGCGACCCCCTGTCCCCAGGCACAATACACACTTCGGCTGAGGCAAGAGCCGGCCAGCCACCTGGTGGAGGGGCAGCCGCAGGCCTGGGTCCCCGGAGCCACCAAGTAGAGTTAACAGCTAGAGGTGACAAGCGCTACGGCGAGAACGGGGAGGTGGGGTCCAGGTTCAGAGGCAGAGGCAGTTCCGCCCTCAGGGACTCTGGCCAGTGTCCAGGGACCTTCTTGGTTGTCACTGCATGGAGTGGCCTCTGTGTGTCGAACCCCGAGAGGTGGCTCTGCGTTCCCCACACAGGGGCACCTGCAGCCATGAGGTGGGGTCCAGCTGACCACGCGGGGGAGACAGGAGGCAGACCCCTCGGGCAGCACCCGAGGCGGCCAGCTGGGGTGACTGCTGCCCACCTGCCAAGGACCCCCTGCCCGGGATCACCAGTGCCAGTCGTTCTGTACCCAAGAAGGAGCAAGCCCAGGCAGCCTCACACGAACCCGCCACCTCGCAGAGGCCACCCCATGCTTTTCCCAGCCTGAGTGCAGCCCAGAGCCACTGGGCAGAGGGACGGGTGGTTCCCATCGGGGGCATTCTGACCCAGGGACACCTGGCAGGCCTGCCGCAGCCTGGGTCTGCACGTGGGCAGGTGGTGCTTCCTGCAGGGAGGCCGCTCAGCACCCACGGCTCCAGGTGCCTCAGCAGGATCGTGCCCAGCGTCCTGGCTGGCGAGGTCAGAGGCCTGAGCGCAGGTGTTTGTCTGCTCAGGCCACCAGGACCACACCCTGGGTGGCTGCAGTGGACTAGGGTGGCCGCAGGCTTGTCCTCAGCCTTAGCCTTGGCGCCCAGGGGCCACCCTCCCCGGCCCTTTTGTCCAGGACACCAGCTGCCCTCCTAGGGCCCCACTGACCTCGCTGAGGCTCCAGCCATGGCCACGCTGGTGGTGAGGGCTGCACGTAGGAACTCGGCAGGGGACAGGGACACAGTTCAGCCCCTCAGGAACTCGGCAGGGGGTGGGGACACAGTTCAGCCCCTCCTAGTTCCTTCTCTCCCAGAGAAACTAGAAACATGTTTGCAGTATGTTTCTTTTTATAATTTTACACCTTTATTTATTGATTGATTTCTATGGGGTCTGAGGATGGAGCCCAGGGCCTCGCACGTGCTAGGCGAGCGCTCTAGCCCTGAGCCCCAGCCCCGCCCCAGTTCATCTTACTTTAAGTTGACATGTAATAATTACAGGTGTCTGTGGGGTGCGGTGTGCAGGGATAGATCAGGGTGTGTAGTGATCAGATCAGGGCAGTCAGCACCCAGTGCCCCCAGCGCCTGTGATTTCTTTGTGTTGGGAACATTTAAAATCCTCCTAAGGGCAGGGCGCTGGTGCCCACCTGTAATTCCAGTAGCTCAGGAGGCCGAGGCAGGAGGATCTCAGGTTCCAGGCCAGCCTCAGCGCCTTAGCGAGACCCTATCTTAAAAGAAAAAAGGAGGCCGGGAGTGCAGCCAGTGGAGGAGCATTCCTGGGTTCAAGCCCCAGCTCTGCAAAGAGAAAGGAAGAAGAAAAGGTTCCCGCGCCAAGGGGATCCCAGGTCATCACCAATGGTCTTCACCTCCCAACCGGAGGATCCGCCCCAGGGACCGCAGAACTCCACATCCCTAGACCCTGTGGCCACGAGAGAAAAGAAAGGGAAGCCAGGGGCGAGGTGCGGTGCTGCACGCCTGTGGTCCCAGCCACCGGGGAGGCTGAGGCAGCAGGATCACTGGAGCCAGGAGTTAGTTGCCCGCGTGGGCAACATAGCGAGACCCCGAGTCCAAAAGAAAGGGGTGAAAACGGGCGTGCGCGCGCCCTCTCGCGGTGATATAGGGGACAACCACTTAAGTCAAAAGAGAAAGCCCAAGTCAATAGAAAGCGATGGGTGGGGGGACGGTGCTTGGTGACCGAGGTCCCCTAGGCCTCTTCGGCAGAGGATCTGAGCAGACCGCTGCAGGAGGAGGGGAGAGAGGGGGCCACGCAGATTTTCTTAGGAAACTGTCCTAGCACAGAAAGCTCGCCGCACAAGGATCATGGAACGGCCTGAGGCAGGAGCATGCCGGGCACATTTAAGGAGCAGTGGGGAGGTCGGTGCGGCTGAAGGGGAGCCAGGAGGAGCCGCGGGGCTGAGGACAGAGCAGGCAGGGAACCGTGAGCCTGGCCTGAGGATTCGGGCGCTCCGCCGGAGTGGGGCCTGACGCAGGTGCTCGCGGCGCCCTCTGGTGGCGGCATGCGGAGTAGACAGCGGGAGCCGGAGCCAGCCCAGATCCGAGGAGGCGGGGTGGGGCAGCAGTTCAACTGTCCCTGGCTTCAGTGTCCTTGCTCCAAAATAGATCTGAGCTTTGAGTTTCACCTGCGCGTTAGCAAAAAGGCCCTTCTAGCGCCAGGGTGCAGCTCAGTTGTAGAGTCCTGGCCTAGCTTGCGTGAGGCCCTGGGTTCCATCCCAGCACTAAAAAAAAAAAAAAAAAAAAAAAACCATTTTGGCTCAAGGTACGGAAGGTCCGGCATCAGGGGACCTGTCTGGTGAGGGCCTTCTGGTTATCAAGTCCCAGGCACCAATCACATGGAGAGAGACGGGTAGTACCCGAGGCTGTGTGTCTTTGCTGTCTGCCCTTTCCCTCTCCAAGCCTCAGGATCCAATGCAGGGACAGAGCCCTCATGGCCCCTCCAGACTGTAGTCCTCACACCTCACGAGAGGAACTGGGTCCAACAGGGGCTTGAGAGGGCGTGGCCCACGTTCAAAGGATAGAGCTGCAGTACTGACCCTGGGAGAGACGCTGTCCCAGGGCTGGACGCACATTAACTCCCTTGGTCCTCAGCCAGACAGAATGTCACCCCATTCTGAGATGGAGTAACTGGGGTTCCTAACGGTGCACGTGCAGAGGCTGGGTGTGGCTCAGCGGCAGAAGGCTCTGGGTTCCATCCCCAGCACAGAGAGAGGAGAGTCTAGCGACTTAGCCAGGCACTTGGTGAGAGCGGCAGCCAGGACTGGGCCCTCAGCTGACCCAGCCCCTTGCAGCACTGGACTGTCCCTACAAAGCCGTCCCCCAGCCCTGGCCCTGCCGAGGACCAGGACTTCCTCTGGGATCACAGCGGCTGTGGCCACACTCTAGGGAGCTGTGGCTTGGCAGCTGCCCCAGCGGCTGCTGGTGCGGGGGAGGCGGTCAGCATCTGTTGCGCCCACACTGCAGGTGGGGCCGACAAGCAGCAGATGGACGCAGAGCTGCGGAAGGAGATGATGGCCATCTGGCCAAACCTGTCCCAGAAGACGCTGGACCTGCTGGTCACACCTCACAAATGTAAGAGCCGAGCCCACCCTGGGCCGGGACCCCCGCACAGTGGGGGCGGGAGCCGGAGGGGCGGGCGGCACCTGAGCTCTCCTGTGCCCCCAGCCACGGACCTGACGGTGGGGAAGATCTACGCAGCCATGATGATCATGGAGTATTACCGGCAGAGCAAGGCCAAGAAGCTGCAGGCCATGCGCGAGGAGCAGGTACCAGCGTCCATCGCCCTGGGGACACCCAAGCTGGAAGACAGGGGCTGGCTTGTCACCATGGGAACCAACCAGAACTAGGGCAGGTCACTGCCAAGCAGGGCCATCTCAAGGAAATGCAGCCTGGACGATTCGTCCCCTCCACCAGCACTTGCTGAAGGTCACTGGGTGTTGGGTGCTGTCCCCAGTGCTCGGGGTCATCGGTCACCGGGGGGTTGCAGATGGGAGCAGAACAGACCAGATTCCTGCCCTCGGAGAGCAGCCGTTCTAGGTGGGGACCCACCAACAGCAGCAAGTGACTAAGCACATCTCATGGTGGCAAATAATGAGGGCCATGGCGCCCTGCGGACCTGAAGAGGGGAGAAGAGGGGAGCGGTGTGGAGCCGCGCAGGTGGGGCCTGGAGACCGGAAGGCAGGGAGGGAGGACGGCAGGAGCAGGCTGGCACCCAGGGAACAGCGTCCTCCTCGGCAGAGGAAAGAGACAGTGCAAAGGCTGAGGCTGGAGGACGAGGAGGACGGAGAGGGGCAGAGGACGGTGAGCCAGGGGGACATTGGGCCGGAGTCACAGGGCAGAGCTCAGAGATGGAGGGGACATTCAGTTTTATCCCAACTGAGAGGGGAGCTGGAAGGGTCCTGCACAGCGGAGGGGCCAGGTCTAGCCCATGGGCACCCTCTGGGCACTAAGGTGGGGAGCCGGGAGGGCTGGGCTGCTCCAGGTGCCAGGTGCCGGGCAGAGGCCAGGGCGGGGCCGGCTGGGGAGTGGAGGAGTCCAGGAGGATCAGACCTGAGTGACTGATCAGCAGGCCCAGGGTTCCATCCCCGACACTGCAAAAAAGTGGTGGGGGACTTCTGGAATGTCGAAGGGTGGGGTCTCAGCACCCCCTCCAAAGCCCCCCCTGCTCTGCTCAGCCCAGCCTCGCCCACAGCCTGAGCCTCCGTTCCCCTCCTTCGTCCCCACCCCGTCCCTGCCCCTGTGCACACATGCTGCTCTCTGCCCCCCAGAACCGGACCCCTCTCATGTTCCAGCGCATGGAGCCCCCGTCCCCGTCACAGGAGGGGGGACCCGGCCAGAATGCCCTCCCCTCCACCCAGCTGGACCCCGGAGTCAGCCTGTGAGTGTGGGTCTGGCCAGAGTGGGGGGGCAGTGAGGTGCCAGCGCCCAGGCAGAACCCCTGAGTGCCCCCCACCTGCCTCTGTGTCCCCCACAGGATGGCTCATGAAGGCGGCATCAAGGAGAGTCCGTCCTGGGTGACGCAGCGGGCCCAGGAGATGTTCCAGAAGACGGGCACGTGGAGCCCAGAGCGAGGGCCCCCGGCCGACCTGCCCAACAGTCAGCCCAGCTCTCAGGTGCCCCTGCCCCCACGGGTCCCAGGTCGCCGGCGCCTGCAGCAGGCACCCCCCACAGACACCGAGCCTTCCCTGGGGCCCCGAGTCAGGTCCCGGGGCTAACCAGGCCCTGCCCTCTGCCCTGCAGTCGGTGGAGATGCGCGAGATGGGCACCGATGGCTACTCGGACAGCGAGCACTACCTCCCCATGGAAGGCCAGGCCCGCGCCGCCTCCATGCCCCGCCTCCCGGCCGAGAACCAGGTGAGGGCTTTCACCGCCCGAGGGGGGCCACCGCACCGCACCGCACCCTGCGGGCAGCCCCCACACTGGCCTCACCGGGAGCCCCTGACGGGCCTGGCCCTTGGCCCCCCTGGTGGAGCCAGGAAGGGGAGGGCCCTGGGGTGAGCTTGGTGGCCGGGGGCCAGTGGTTCTCCTCTGCCCTGCTGGGGACAGAGAGGGAGGGGCCGTGGCCGGAGAGCTGCCCTCCGAAGCCATGGCCCAGGGGGCACCTGCTCGGAGCAGGCCCTGTGCTGGGAGGATCCAAGTTCAAGGCCGCCCTGGGCGTCTGAAAACCTGAGGGAGGGCCGGCTGGGGTGCAGCGCGGGGTGGAGCCACGGGCACAGTCCCCGACACAAGCCCCGGGCTGGGCGTGGCCGGCGTGCAGCCGTCTGGCCCCGCACACGCCCTGGGTTTCCTCCCAGCACTGGGGAAAACCCAGCACGCGCACCCCGAAATTCCACGCACTTCACGCACACGCACCTCACACATGCACCTACGTGTGCGCACCTCACACACCCACACCTCACACCCACACCTCATACACTCCCACTTCACGCACTAGCACCTCATGCACACCTCATACACGCGCACCTCACGCACCCGCCCTTCACGCGTGCAACTAACACGCGCAACTCACGCACACGCACCTTACACATGCACCTCACACACGTGCACCTCACACCTGACACCTGCATACCTCACGCACCCGCACTTCACACCTGCGCACCCCACGTACCCACCCCTCACACGCGCACCTCACGCACTCGCCCTTCACGCACCTTATGCACCTCAAGCACCCACACCTCACGCACGAGCACCTCACACCTCCACCTCACACCTGCGCACCACACACACCCACCCCTCACACACCCACTCACGCGCGTGCACCTCACGCACCCTCACACCTCACGCACATGCACCTTACACACCTCATGCACCCGCACCTCACGTGCACGCAGCTTGAGTGCACACCTCACACCCGCACCTCATACACCCCACATGTGTGCACACCAGCACACTCACTTGTGTGTGGCGTGTGCCAGGCACGCACACTCGTGGGTCTGGCATGGGCGGTCCTGGGAGGCAGGGCTGGGGGTGTGGGCAGCTGCGGGCGTGTCCCTGTCGGGTCTCCGTGCGGCTGCAGGGCAGCGTGTGCCTGCTGCGTGTGTCTGCGTGGCCGTTTGCCCGGCGGCTGGGCCCACTCGCGGGGAGGCAGGAGGGACCATCCCACCGCCCTCCTGAGGAGGGCAGAGGCCAGCAGCATGGCGGGCTGCCTGCCGGCTTTCCAAGTGCGGCTGGAGTGCAGGGCAGCGCCCCTGGCGGCTGCGGGGCGGGAGCTGCGGGTGGTGGGCGGCATGTCTGGCTGGGGAGCTTCGGTGCTGTGCTGTGGCTGTCTGCACCCGGCGCAGGCTGCGCTGTGCCTAGCGGGGCAGGGTGGCCCGAGGGCCTGGCCTCTGGTGGCTGTGAGGCTGGGTGCGAGGCCCTGTGCTGCATGTGGCTGCCCGGTCCCTGGACTGGGACGTGGCTGCTGGGCCCCAGAGAAGACCGGGCGGGGCATCTGGGGCCCCCCTGGAAGCTGGGGGCCTCCCCGGGAGCCAGGACCAGGGCCCTGCATGGGCAGGGGCCTGTGGCCAGCCGTCCCCTCTGTTGGTGTCGTGCCTCTGCCATCTGTCTGTGTGTCTGTCTCCTCTGTACCTGCTGGGGACAGCCAGCGGCCTGCTCACCAGGACCTGACCCCCTCCCCACACCGCTCCATGCTCCGCCCTCCACCACCTCCTCCCTGCCTTTTATATTTATTTTCTTCTTTCTGTTCTTTCTGTGTGCACCATCCCGTGGGGCTGTGACAGAGGAGAAGGGGCCGGCCACGTGGGAATGACCTCAGTGTATGTACGCCCTGCAGCCCCAGCTGGGCTCCGGCCCCTCTTCCTCCCCAGCCCCTGGGGCACTCCCCATCTCTGGCCGCCTGGCCCCACCTTTCTTTGCAGACCACACCCTCCCCCATGGAGCCCTCTCCTCATGTGTGTGTCCTGTGTGTGCGGGGCCATCCCCCCCACTCCCCTCGTCACAGCCCCCCGCCGTCCCCTCTCTCTGGGGGTCGTCCTCCAGCTCCACCGTGGACCCCAGCCCTGCAGTCTGAGTCCTTCACAGCCCCCGCCTAGGGCAGGGCGTCCAGCAGCAAGCAGGCGGGTCCTGCGTGAGGGTGGGGTCCACGCCATGTCCCTGCTGCTGTCTTCCGCCGGCCACGGAGAATCACAGGCCCTGCATGGGTCAGCGCTTGACCCAGGGGCGCAGCGAGTGAGGCCAAGGATGGGGTCCTCAGGGCCTCGAGTGCCAGGGCAGCCCCTAGCCTGGACCTGGGCAGCTGGCACCAGGGTCAAGGGGTCAGAAGATAGCGGCCCCTGGGCCAGCGAGGTGCTGAGCTGAGCTGGCCGGGGGAACCTGGCTCCTCTCCGTCCCTGGAGGGCAGGTGGCAGCCAGGGCAGGTGTGGACCTGCAGCCCAGGGCTCCCAGGCTTGCGCCTTGTAGGGGGACAGTGCTTCCCTTCGTCCACCTGCCCACCCTGGCTGGGCCCCCGGGGCTGTGGGTCCTGAGAATCAGTGGCGTGGTGAGGGGCCAGGGGACCTGGAAAGAGGACAGAGGAGTTCCCAGGGCTCCGCTCTCACCGCACCTAGCCAGCCTGTGTCCAGGACCCTAGCGCACCCCTGGACCCACTCCCCAGATGGCCACACCCCAGTCTCAGATGGCCCTGCACCAGCCAGGCTGCCAGGACGGGGTAGGAAAGGATGGCACTTCTCAGTGCTGGCCTCTGACTCCAGCCCACGGCCTGTCCCCCAACCCCAGACCATCTCCGACACCAGCCCCATGAAGCGCTCAGCATCGGTGCTGGGCCCCAAGGCTCGGCGCCTGGACGACTACTCCCTGGAGAGGGTCCCCCCAGAGGAGAACCAGCGGCACCACCAGCGCCGCCGGGACCGCGGCCACCGCGCCTCTGAGCGCTCCCTGGGCCGCTACACAGACGTGGACACAGGTGGGCTGCCGCAGGGACTCCACCGGACGGGGGAGGTGGAGAGGGACGAGACTGGACAGGGGACAGGTGCCGCTGCAAAGAGTGCAGGGACCGGAGTTGCAACCGGCCTTGGCCGTCACCAGGCCTCTCTAGGGCCCCTGGACCCCGGCTGGGCTCCTGTGTGCACGCCCTGCCATGCCCCAAGGCTACCTGGGGTCTGTCCTTCTGTGTTCCCGGCCAGGCTTGGGAACCGACCTGAGCATGACCACCCAGTCCGGGGACCTGCCTTCCAAAGAGCGGGACCAGGAACGGGGCCGACCCAAGGACCGGAAGCACC